GTATATATATAATAATAAAACATAATATATTATTATTTGACATTAACATATGATGGGCTTACATCAATTACATTTCCCAAGGCATTCAACACCCCTTATTTGGAGTTGCCATTGGCACTCCCCTATGATTACTTTTTTATTATTTTATTTTTTTTGTGTTTGTCCTTTTTATTTAAATTTAATTTAGAGAATATTAATTGCACCTTCTTAATAGAGGTGTTAAATGTTTTAAAAATTGATCAATCTTCATTAAAAATATAAAATATCAAAATTAATTAAATAATATAATAATAATAGTAATATATTATTGTTATTATATATTATTATTATTGTGTTATATAACTGTATTAGAATCATTTGAATTTTTTTTGTTATTTAAATATTTGTACTACAATTTAATTAATATAATTCATTAATTAACTAGTTGTGTACTCGTGCAATGCGACTGAAGTGAAAATATAAATGAATTTGAAGCTTGGTGGGTTTTTTTTTAATAGACTTTAAGACGTTATGAAGATAGGATTTCCAATTAGTTTTTACAACTTAATACTTTTTCAATAAATAAAAGTTATGGTTCCAAACTTCCAATTACAACATCAATAAAAAATTGTATGATAATGCAAATCAAATAAAACAAACTATAATCTAATTACAACACCAATCCAATATAATCTAATTATGTTAAAAGAGACAATAAATTGGAGAGAATGAAAACTATAAATTTTCATTAATCATAAGCTGTTTAAATAAGAACAATTACATAGAAATAATGATAGGCATAGAAGAAGATTTACCCACAACTCAACTCAGAACAAAACTGTATTGACTCTATCACAATCCATAACACGAGAAGATGTTCAACCTACATCCATGGCTACATTTTGGATTCTATAATGAAGAACACCTTCTATGCAGAATTTCGTCTATCGTACATGCCACTATAAACTATAGAATCCAAACCGTCTAGTACTAACTTTCAAAACAGACCAAGGTAACACAACTGAGGTGTCGGTCGAGAAGCACTTGAACGACCAAACCATCTTTTGTTGATGAACCGAAGGTTGGTTCCAGTTCCAGATATAAGCGTTAGAATCCTCCATGTTGAAAATTTGTGTTTCCCATCTAAGGTGAACGATACATAGAACTGGTTAATTTTAGCATTTCGTTGGCCTAGTGGTTAACTGGTTAACATAAGTACAGATAAGATAATGAAAGTAAAGCTACATCGAAAATTAAATATACTAACTATTAAATAATTAGCATTTTTCTAATTTATTTTCCTAGATACCTGTGACTTTTCTCAATTTGTCATAATCTTGAAATCCCAAGCTCTACAAATGCATCAGAGCTTCCATTTTCACCCTAACATCGTGCCCGCTCTATTAACCTACATAAGACATGTGGTAAACCTTCAACAATGCTAACGGCGGTAATTTACACACAGATCTTCTATTTTAAATAATAGATGGAAACAACATCCTAAACAGAGAACAATATATCTTAATGCATAATCACATGTACCATGCCAAAAACAAAAACAACAGACTTAATGCAAAATCACAACATGTACCCGAGAAGTCGATCTAACAAATCTAATACCCCTTACTGGATATATCTTTTGGCTATCGAAACAACAGAGCTCAATTTCTGTAAACACACAATGCCACTGGTGTATTTTTGTCTGAGCTAATTTGCAGGGTGAGAATCTCTTCCACGTTGCGAATACAAGCATTGCAATAATATATAAGAGACAGGAAGTACATTTGAAACAATCATAACTGCACTCATGTTGGCTCGACATGCAAATGTGAAGGACTGGTGCTGGAGAATTTCTTCTGATTATGTCCTTACACCAGTGGCATTGTGTTCACTTGCTTTTCCTCGTCACCTTTTACCTTCCTCTTTCTCTTTCTACATGCAAGAACCACTTATGAACACACCCTCCCTATGACATGACAGGCAAACCATGGATTTACCAAATACACATCTAACAGAACATGCAAGCTCACATAAATCACAAATACTAAATGGACATCTGACATAACATGGAGTCCGTCGTTAATCACAAGTGATTCATTACAACATATAACAATAAATGAAAGTACATCATAAAATCCATCGTTGTACCACATACACATCTATCATAACATGCAAGACCACATAAATCAGCAAAACTTCCTAAAATATTCAAGTTCATGCTTGTTTCTTTCATCAAAGTAGTGTTTGAAACTCAATGGCCAAGTAGTACATTAGGTTAACTTTCATCAACCAAAGAGCCGAAGAGGATTGTTTATAGTGTTACTCCAGTTCCCACCACACAACTTATTTGCAATCTGGCTGCTTTTTCAAAGTCCTTCAACAACAAAACAATATGAACATTTGTCGAAATTAAACCTAGGGTTTTGTTTTAAGAAAATCCGACATGGATGATTAAGATTAAGAATCAATAAGCATACCTTGCACCTCCATGTATGTTCTTCGAAATCGTGAAAACGGAGCTTATTAGATAGATTTTCGGCTAATCCTTTGAAATCAACGCAGTTGCTTACGTAGAAGAGAGTGTTTTGAGAGATTTCTAAAACATTTCAACTCCTCTTTGATGGATATCGACCGATTTTGGAAAATATTTAGGAAAAGAAACCCTGTTACCTGATTTGTGTCTTCGTCGAGAGGAGCAATAGGCGAGGAGCATAACCATAAATAAAGAGCGTACATCTCGAGAGTATGAATAGTCGCCTGAATCTGTATCGTCATCTTGGAAGAAAGAGTTGCTGCAAATTATCTTTGGGGAAATAAGTCTTTGGGGATTTAAAGAGCCCTGCATTTGAGTTGTATTGGAAGACTTCATGCATCAATGGAGTTGTAACTTAAGCTATTAATATTGTAATTAAGACTTTTAAAACTTTGTGTATCAAAAGGTAGTATCTTATGCATTCAATTTGTTTTTAAGATTTTTCTTAAATCTGGTTTATAAAATAGTATATATTATCTTTTTCTCTTTTATTACTTTTTTAATCATTATATATATAAATAAATGTTTAATTCTTTTTTTTTTATCATTATTGAATACAATGTAAAAATGAAACCAAATAAAACATAAAAATGTTTTTCTCTTTATTTTTTTTAAAGAATAAATGTTTTGGTAAATAAATGTTTAATTCTTTTTTTTTTATCATTATTGAATACAATGTAAAAATGAAACCAAATAAAACATAAAAATGTTTTTCTCTTTATTTTTTTTAAAGAATAAATGTTTTGGTAAATAAATGTTTAATTCTTGTATTATTTTTTATATAATTGTTTTTTTACCATTATTTTTTATATTATTGTTTTTATGTATCGATTTTGATGCATGTAACTGGCAACTATCGTGATATGTAATATTTTATGCGTTAAAATGATACAAATAACCTATTTTTAAAAATTAGTTGATTTATTAATTAAAAATATATGTAAGGATGAATTTTTTTTTTTTGTAAATAATTTGACTCTGTTAGTTGCACGATATTAATTCTTTTATTTTTTTATTCATAATTTCTTAATTACATCATTTTAAAATATTAAAATAACCCAAAAATTTGAAATATTACTTTTTATAAAAGTGATTATGTTCTTTTTTATAAATATCTCCTTTATTTTTCAAATCATTATCTTTTTAGCGTCGTTTCGGGTCTAATATTGCAATTTGTCGAAATATTTTTAAAATTTTATCAAACCTTGTATTTAATTATGATCTTGAGTTAAATGAAAATTTAGTCCCTATGGTTTACATAAATTAATGATTAAGGTACTTATCTAAAACACCTCGACGCCACATAGATGAGACGGACCCAATGATTTTTGGATATTGTGGCACCATATAAAACAGTTGCACTTTTTAGAATAAAATGGTTGCACCTTTCACGAAACTAATTTTTTACCTTACCACGGAGGAACAATACGGTGGCACGTGCCACCTAACCACCCCTCTAGGTCCGTCTATAGTGTTCAGAGACCACCAGTGATAACTAAATATGTTTTCAAACATCAAAGCCAATAACAATTCCATCAAATTCATACTATTAAACAACTCTTTTTAACTATTTCAAAACAACCCAATTCTTAATAAAATTTAACCCTTAACCAAAATCAAATATTTGCAGTGTATCTTAAGACCAATTTGATAACAACTTTTTGAGATTAATGGGAGTATGAGGTTCACATCTTATTCGGCCAGTTATACATCGATTATCTGATAGTGAATATAAAAAATGGTTTATTTAATAAGCTTTTAGAAAGAAGTTTTATGCAGGAAGTCAAGTTTTTTTTTTTTTTTCCAAACCAGTCACTCCCATTTAAAAAACACGCTCTATCCATCTATGGAAAAAAAAAATTCTCTCAAACAAAAACATTATAAATCTATACAATCGACAAAGACAGTTTTATTCATACAAGCTTAATAGAAAACTAACCAAACAACCTTTTAATCTTACTTGTAGGTGGGATCACAATGTACACATACCTAACATTCACCCTAGTAACCACAAGGGTGGTGTCTGATTGGTTTGAACTTGACTCCAAAGATCAAAAGTACCTGGAGATCTCAGGTTAAAATCCAATGAGGAATAAAAATCCCCTTATGGCCACAAATACTGTTTTCGTAATTTGTACCACTTCATCACCAATCCAAGAATCCCAAGCAACCACATAACCAAAGTTCCCAGAATTTAATGAATCTTCACATTTGAATTGAATCATATGGTTCCTCAAATAGCAATTTTAATATCTACAAGTTATAAGACATCGGTTCAAGTCTATCGAAAGAATCACAAGAAATTTATGAAAGTTTACCGGGAATCGATGAACACAAATCTAAAAAAGACTACGTCTGTCTGACTATTTCCCTCTTGGCACACTCCTGAAAATCGACCATAGCATCGCTGTACATGTAGCCTGTAGGGAGGATTGTTGGAGGGACACACCAAAGTTTCCATTTTTATGCTCCTATAAACTGCAAAAGAGTTTTGGAAGGAAGTAATGATGTTAAGATATAAGAGATGATAGGCCAAATCTTTTTAGCATATTACAAGAATGCTCTTAACCCCTACCAAAGGGCCTTTAGCCTCGCAGTATCGTAGCCTTTGGCCTCCAAGGAGGTCAGGGGTTCAGAATCTCACCAAAGTTGAGGAGGGTGTTTGAGTTTATTTGTTGCATTTGCCGTATATAAATATTATATACTTTAAAACAAAAGAATGCTCTTAACCGAACATTCTAATCTGGGAATTCTATGAAATCATTTGTGTAAAACAAAGAACGATATTGGAGATGGTGGTTTTCCAGGTTTTATGCTATAACAATTAACAGCAATGCATGTTCATGATTTTGTCACCAGATATCCAGGGGCATATGAGCCTTTTCTAAATAAGTAGACATAGTGAGTGATAGTCTAGTTTTGTGTAGTATATGTTTTAGGTGCTAAAGAAGTAGAAAACTTTTTCAACTTGCTATTAAATTCGCATATTCTCTCAATCTTCGTAACTTAAATTTTAGTATTCTGCATAGTTTCAGTGAGACACAGGGTCCTAGAATTCAGAATGAACTACAGCCATCCTTGGTTGAAAACACTAATTTGAAACAACCATTTGAGTGAACATCCATTGCTTAGAGCCCAAGTACGTTTAGGAAATGCTTGAATTCAAGAAAGTAATTACTGATAACCAAGAAAAAAGGAATAAATATCATAGTATCGAAGCGCGTATCTCAGTATTCTCAGCATTCAAGATTATAACGACGAGTATATATGCAACCTCAGCAACAGAGGATAAATAACGGGTAGACATTTGAAGACAGAGCAGAGGAAAGTGAAGCCTACAAGCAATTCAGGTTAGAAATCTACAACAATCTATGAGCTACAGCCCACAATTTGTCTCCAGTTGATCTGTTCCTGTAAATAGACTTTAAAAAAGAAACATTCGCTCTCCTCAGGCCTTTTGGGTTAAGAAGATGCCAAAGCACCCTTAAATCTGTAAGAACAGCATTTTCTGAGGCGTGAAGTGGTGTCAGAACTTTGAAGTTCTGTGATTTTGACCAGTTTTGGAACATGAGAAGAAAATAAGATAGAATGCAAGATATATGGTAAGTGCAATTGACATCTATTCCATCTAGTATAGACGCCTTCTGTGAATATAAGAAAAGAGATGGCATATAGAAGTATGATTCTAAAGTATAAACAAGAAAATTTAGCTGCCTAGTGCTAAAAGATACTTACATCTGATGTTTCCCAGTTATACTGAACTATACCACTATATTTCGCAATTGTCAACAATTAGAGAGAAAAATCCTTCAAATTTCCAGGGCACTATTGCATTCGCTATCTCTGCTTTGAAGGAAAGAAAATAAGAGAACAAAATTAAGATACAAACTGAATTTCAAATATTAGTATTACAAATGTAATGGAAACTTGAATTCCAACGGCTTGAAATTTGAATTATTTTGCTTTTAGATCTCAAATATCTTGTTAAACGTTCCCAAAAACTACCGTTTCTTCAATTCGTTCTATAATGAAGAGTGACGTACCTTTTTAGTATCAGAAACTCTATAAAGGTCTGCATTTATCTCGGTTAACCACAAGCCTGGAAATAGAGTCTGCGAAAGTTTTATAGGAACAAAAGTTATTAGATATTGGCAATACTCGTACAGAAAATTCCAACCCACTCAGTGAGTTGGTAGGTTCTCAAACTAATTCAACCATAATCACTCTCTATATCCCATGGAAGTGCAACATGTGACTAGGCACATGGTTTGAGTCACTGAATAGTTGAATCATTGTACTTGCTTTTCCTTACAAAGTTCTTGTAGAAACACAAAATTTGAAAACCACTATGCTTTGAAGAAATAAGCGATTTTAGACAGAAGGCACCAAGCATGATGAGTTTTTTTTTATTTCATTTACACTTTTCTGGAATTTGCCAACATCATTCACTTAGCATTTTGCATTTTGCAAGAACGATAGTTTGATTCCATGAAAACGCCAAGAAAACTGGATGGAAAGGTCGATAGCTCTAGTGTTAGTTGAAGTGTTTGACTATTAGTTGTGTGTCCTTAGCACCCTTCAAGACTATCAGCAAAAAGATAACTCAAACTTTGCAAAATAAAAAATTGTAGCAATTTTCATGAGACTCGTAGGAAACGTTAGCAATTGTCAATGGATGAAGCATGTATGTTTGTTATGAAGTTCTGCAAATATTTCCATTTACAGAAAGAAAAAAACAGTTTAAATCTTATTTACCAACTTGTTTCAACCATATTTGCATAAGATTACTTAGGCCTGTTAGTACTTTCCCTAGGGACTCCACTGGTCTATTCCAACAGTCATTCCTATTCCCCTACCATTTTTCAGTACAATGGAAGGGGCCAAGGAAGATGTTCAACAACCATCTCCTTCCATCCAGAATGTAATTGACTTTCTGAAACATCACACAGTCTCTTTTTGTCACAAACTAACTGTTTACGCAAACACACCCTAAAAAGATCATAGTACTTTGCAAGAATCAACTATTTGGACAAATTATGAACACTTAATTAAACCTATGGTGATTGGCACTTTTAGTCTAAAATTGCGTCTGAACATTTAGAATGATGGTTTGTAGCTTCTTCACAATGAAAAATCAATAACTCAAGTGTGCGTGATATTATATAATTATGATAGAAGGCACAGAGAAAGTTTATGGTTATCTGTGTTCCAAAAGAAAGGAGCTACAACTTTAACTATGATCTCAAAAGGGCTAAATCTTAACTACCCCACAACTGAAAATTGACCCGAATTCTCAACTTCTCGAGAAAAATTGATTGTTACATGCTAGATTGAATTCGATAAACTGCTATATAAGTGGAAGAAACGCGAATTGGAACATTAATTCGTATCAAACTCATAATGATTTTGCTTTCGAAGAGTATTGACTCTGAAATATGATGAGAAAATACTTACATCCAATTGATTTTGTAGGGATTTAGGCCGCTTCTTCGGCTTCCGAGGCAGCCGCCGCTCCCCCATGTCCTCGAAGTCCTTCTCCATCTCCCGACGTGAAAGCGGAACTGAGAACTTTGCCCTAGCGCTAACTCCCTTCTCCATTCCATCATCACCACCACCGCTATTATTGATTACATCAGAAACCAACAACGGCGGTTTGAATTGTTCCTCCGCATCAAGCTCTTTCTTGAAATCGACCATTATCTTCTCCCAATTCGCTTCCGTATCGCCATCCTTAGCTTTCAGTTCAAGTATCAATCTATCAACCACCGCCGTAGATGGTGGCCAGAAGTTCAATTCGGTATCACCGGCGACTTCTAGTGAATTCCCATTATTGAGAGTGCATTTGGAAAGATTGAATTGAGTTGTGAATTTGGAAGACGGCATCGTGGAATCGGATTTGGATTTGGATTTCTCCACCATTATTACCCCATCAACGGGGTTCCACTTTATGCACTAACGTCGCTTTGTCCCCAAGTTTTTACAGCGCTACTTATCTCAGTTCTTAAGAAAAATCCAAAAGAAAATTAATTATATTATTAAAACCAGAAGTGTCCTCGCCTAATATAACGAGATAATCATAATTTTAATTTTTAATTTTTATTTTTCGTCTCTATCAATATAAATATAATTGTATATAGTTTTAAGAAAATAATAATATTTTTTTGAAAGAAAAATATATTTGAAGATAACATAAAAATTTGAAAAATAAAGCGATATTAATATCAAATTAACTATTTAATAGTTCTCGTTTATTTGGTGTAGCTTTTTTAATTTAAATTTTTATTATAATTTAAATTAGATTTAGTAACAAAGTAATCTATTTTTGCTTTAACAATATAATTTTTATAAAGATAATAATTCAACATTCTGTTAAAACTTAATGATTATCTTAAATATATTTTAGATTTTCTATATTTAAAATGGATGTTTATCTTACATTTGATTATGTTATCTGTAGTTAGTTACACGAATACAAATATAGAGCTTAATAAGTTGTGCTTACGCATAATTTACTTGTAATCTTGACTTTTAAGTAATATGCATCAATAAACAATATTTAATGCATAAAAAATTGTTTTTAAGAGTTTTTGTCAAATGTTTTATAATATACTACAAGGGTACTCGCGCAATGCAGCGATATATATCTCGATTTCAATATTTCATTTTATTATTTATCTCAATCGATGTTATAATATGGTCTTATGTGATTTTGAAAAAGAGATTATGTTTTTATTTTTGAATAAAATATAAGTTTGAAGATATCATAAAAATTTGACGAAAATATATTGATATTAGTATTTAAAATTCATATTTTTTGTGTAATTTTTTAATTCAATTTTTTTATAATTTAATTTAGGTACAATAACGAAGTAATTTATATTTGGTTTAATAATATAATTTTATTATACAGATAATAATTATTTATTTTGTTAGAACTCGACAATTATTCTAATTATATTATTAGATTTTTTATATTTTAAAGTGAGATGTTTATCTTCTATTTGATTATGTTTATCCGCAGTTAGTTATACGAATTCAAACATCGAGCTTTAATAAGTTGTACTCATGCATAATTTACTTGTAATCTTAAATTTTAAGTAAATGCATCAATATACAATACTTTATGGATAATAAAAATATATCGATATTCGTATTAGATTAACTATTTAAAATTCCTTATTTTTTGTGTAATTTTTTAATTCAATTTTTTTATTGTAATTTAATTTAGGGAAGTAGTTTATATTTGGTTTAATAATATTTTTTTATAAAAATAATAATTAATTATTTTGTTAGAAACTCGATAATTATCCTAATTATATTTTAGATTTTTTATATTTTAAAATAAAATGTTTATCTTCTATTTGATTATGTTTATTCGCAATTAGTTATACGAATTCAAACATCGAACTTTAATAAATTGTACTTTTGCATAATTTATTTGTAATCTTAAATTTTAAGCAAACATTGGTTTTATGTGGTTTTGAAAAATTATTATGTTTTTATTTTTGAATAAAATATAAATTTAAAAATATATAAAATTTGAAGGAAAAAAAATATCAATATCAATATTAAATTAATATTTTAAAGTTCTTGTGTTTTGGTGTAATTTTTTTAATTAAATTTTTTTAATTATAATTTAACTCAGGTTTAGTAACAAAGAAATTTAATTTATGTTTAATATATAAAGATAATAACTAAGTATTCTGTTAGTTATCAATGATTATCTTAATTATATTTTAGATTCTTTATATTTAAAATGAGATGTTTATCCAATATTTGATTATGTTTATCTGCAGTTAGTTAGACGAATTCAAGTATGAAGCTTTAATAAGTTGCACTTATGTACAATTTACTTGTAATCTTAAATTTTAAGTAATATGCATCAATAGACAGTACTTCGTGCATAAAAATTTGTTTTTAAAAGTTTTTGTCAAATGTTTTATAATATAGTATAAATTAGTAACAAAGAAATTTAATTTAGGTTTAATATATAAAGATAATAACTAAGTATTCTGTTAGTTATCAATGATTATCTTAATTATATTTTAGATTTTTTATATTTAAAATGAGATGTTTATCCAATATTTGATTATGTTTATCTGCAGTTAGTTAGACGAATTCAAGTATTGAGCTTTAATAAGTTGTACTTATGCACAAAATTTACTTGTAATCTTAATTTTTAAGTAATATGCATCAATAGACAGTACTTCGTGCATAAAAAATTGTTTTTAAGAGTTTTTGTCAAATGTTTTATAATACAATATAGATTAGTAACAAAGAAATTTAATTTAGGTTTAATATCTAAAGATAATAACTAAGTATTCTGTTAGTTATCAATTATTACCTGAATTATATTTTAGATTTTTTATATTTAAAATGAGATGTTTATCCAATATTTGATTATGTTTATCTGCAGTTAGTTAGACGAATTCAAGTATGGAGCTTTAATAAGTTGTACTTATGCACAAAATTTACTTGTAATTTTAAATTTTAAGTAATATACATCAATAGACAGTACTTCGTGTATAACAAATTATTTTTAAGAGTTTTTATCAAATGCTTTATAATATAGTATAAACTGGAAAGATACTCGTGTAATGCAGCGAGATAAATTTTCATTTTAATGTTTAGTTTTAATTATTTGTCTCTATGGATATAATACGATTTTATGTGGTTTTGAAAAAACAATAATGTTTTTATTTTTGAATGAAATATAGATTTGAAGCTACCATAAAAATTTGAAAAAAATAAATCGATATGAGTATCAAATTAACTATTTAATAGTTTTTTTTTTTTTGTAACTTCTTTAATTTATTTTTTTATTATAATTTAATTTAGATTTAATAACAAGATAATTTATTTTTGGTTTAATAATATTTTTTTTTATAAAGATGATAATTAAACATTATTTTAGAACTCAATGATTATCTTAATTATATTTTAGATTTTCTATATTTAAAATGGATGTTTATTCTGTATTTAATTATGTTTATCTGCAGTTGGTTACACAAATTTAAAAAAGAAGCTTTAATAAGTTGTACTTACACAAAACTACTTATAATCTTGAATTTTAAGTAATATGAATCAATAAACAGTACTTTATGCATAAAAAATGGTTTTTAAGAGTTTTGTCAAATGTTTTATAATATAGTATAGATATGGATTATATATAATAAAGTTATTTTTTTCCTTCTAAAATATTTAATCGAAATTGCTTATTTAAATTATTTATCAACTTATTTCGATGGGATAGCAATAGTAAAGAGTTTTTAGTGTTTGGATTGGAAAAAAAGAAAAAGAAATACTAATATTGGTTTAGTACCAGTAATTAGGAGTTTTTACACATATAAGTCGATTCAAACGGTTTATTACGTTTTGATACCGTCATAAGCTAATTCATACACTTTTTATAGAAGTCAGGTTTGATACCACATAAGTTGATAATCGTTTCACAAAAAAAAAAAAAAAAAAAAAAAACTTGAGTTGTTTTAAATAAGTCATCCCAACACCCCTTAACTTGAATGTCTCTTATTGATATGAAAAATTAAGGGGACGTTTGGTTCGTAGAATGAAATTCGATGGAATTGGAATTCATCAAATGAATTTGACTTTGAGGGAATGAAATGAAAATTGACCATGTCTTTTGATTGCGTTTGGTTGGATGGAATTGGAATGAAATTCTTAACGGAATTGGATTTTTTTTTGTTTCTTTCACAGAATTCAACGAGAAAATTACAGAGAAAAAAACCGAAACCGATGGTGATAACCGAAAACCGAACCTGGCCCGTTGTCACAGGGACGATTTTAGTTATCGGTTTCTGGGACGGGGATACCAATAACTGGGCCGAACCTGACCTGTTGTCATTCTTAGTTTTAAACGAGATCGAGTATAGCAAAACAGAACAAATTGAGATACAACTTCGATGAATAGATGAGGGCTAAGGAATATGTCGGATTGGAATTTGAAATCCGTGGTATATGCGGTAGAATTGTGAAATCAATTAATTAAGAAATTTGTTGGAATTGGAAGGATTCCTTCACATCTATTATATGAACCAAACATGTCATTTGGAATTTGGTCAAAAATTTGGACATTCCAATTCATTCCAATTCCACCAAATTCCATGAACAAAACACCCCTAAGATATTCTTTTTCTTAAAATTGGAGAATTTTACATTCTCTCTCTTCTTCGTTTTTATTTTAGCATACGTTATAACATACTTGTAGCAAAAAAAAAAAATTTAAACCATTAAAAAAATCCTTATTTTATCATAGTTGTTGAAAATTCTTTAAATATTTTAAAATCAATTATATTATTAAAATGTTATATAATTTTTATCATTTTAATATATTTAAAAAAAAATTCCTATG